CAGTGACACATATTGTGACGTCAGCACATAATATAGGCGTCAGTGACGCAGATGTTGTGACGTCAGCACATAATGTAGGCGTCAGTGACGCAGATGTTGTGACGTCAGCACATACGTTGCACATTATTATTACGTTCAAAATTCCTATCACACAGCACCTTGGAAATGAGAGACAGTCAGGTTTGATCCGAGGAAGAAGAGGTTAACTCCAGTTCCTTGAATCATGAGCCACCCCCCCCCCTTTCTTCCACCAGCACTAAAGCATATTTTTCCCTGTTATATTCACGGGGAAGCGTTAAACCAGTAAGGGTAATACAGCTTCTTGAAAATGGGAGGTGATCAGATTTGCTCCACAGAGAAGTGTGGCTCTATTTCCCTGGATCAAGAACCCATGTTGCGGCTCATGAACCTGACCATAAACAAAAGAGTCATCTTATCGGTACACGATACCAGCACATGTGTAACACCCGTGTGGCTATATTTGAAGACGTCTCACCAACTAATGGCTACATCAGCTCAATAAAGAGATATGCGAAGACAGTAGAAGATGAGGTAATCAGTCCCTCGGCCTGGAAGCCTGTGTTCAGTTTCACAGTCGTGATTCATCACGAGTATGGTATTAAACACCGGCTCCTAATCTGAGGGACTGATTGCTTCACCTTCCAGTGTGTTCTGCCTATAGTTCTGCATGACTGAGGAACTGTTACATCTTTTAGTGTCTTCGTTTATAATCTCTGCACTGAGTTAAGAAAGTCACTGGTTGAGGAATCTTCAAATAACGTTACCCGGGTGTTGTACATGTGTCTAATTCTTCAGTGTCAAAAACCGAAAGTTACAAACGTACTAAGAGTTTAGTCTCTATTTTAGGGATTAAAGTATACTTGTCTGGTTGTAAAAGTCTACGTGTTTCCTTAATTACCCTAATGTAGTCGACAGGCTTTAAACCCCCATTAACCAACTAATCAGCCATAACCTCTAATGTGTCTTCATTTACATGACCACGGCAGAGGACAAGAAAAAAAAACATTTGGTTTTGGGAAGACATTTATTGAGAAATATGTCTTTGTACAAACACTGCTTTATATTACTGAGCAGAGAGCTAGTTGGAGGGGGGTAGGTGGCCCTCCTGTGAGATACAGCAGAAAGTAACCAAAGGTTGTGTAGCATCTAGATTAGTCTACCATATGAGCCATCCTTGTGGTATTGTCAGGTCTCTGTCCGCTAAGGTACAACCTCAGGTCTGTTAGTCGTTCTTTATTTGAGCTCCGTTTGATTATTTCATACACATGGGGCTTAACACATGTGGTTGTTTCATACGCATGACTTATTAACGGGTGTCTTGTTCATATAATTGTATCCGAATGCGTACGGATACATTTATATAAAATGTGTGTGAATGGTGACTTAACATGTGTTTTTATTCATATATGTGTCTTATTACAACGTTCGTTTACTCTCATATATTTTTCACACACGTCTGTGACTTAACACGTGTTTTTATTCATATGTGTCTGATTAGAACGTTCGTTTACTCTCATATATTTTTCACACACGTCTTAACATACGTGCCTTAAAATTCGTACATGTGTATCTAATTAACACACGTCTCTTTTTCATAAATATGTATCTTATTGCAATACGATCACAAGAAGCAAGTTACATCTTAATAAGCAATTATACCACCTCACATTCTCAAGAAACTCTTATCAGACAACTGTTCCTTGAGAATGGTATTGGGGAGTCACGAAATAATTTACAAGTTACTTACCTTTTAAAATTGTTAAACTGTCACATAAATGCATTTCTCTTACATGTGTATGTTTCTTTTGGCAGGTGTGAAAGACTACTCTACAATAAGAAGTCTTCGTAAGATATTTTCGCAAGATAATTAATCTTTCCCACCTGCCAAAATTATAATTCTTCAAACTCAATTATCTTTTCATACTTGTGTACCTTTTACTATACCCATGTATGTTTCATATACATACGTCTTTCTCATGCATGTCTTTCGAATGTATACGTTAAGCTTCTCTACGTAAACTAGGAGAGCCGCAGTTCGTATTCAAACTGATTAAATGTATCCTGACGGGTAGTGACCTTACAACAACAGACGATGGAAAATATGATCTGTCGACTAGGTGCCCTAGTATGAGGTTGTGTGTTTCTAGAGAGAATACCTTTATGCAGAAGAATATGACGTAACATTTCAAGGCACAATTTAATATTCACATTTTATTTTTTTTACACGTATATAAACATGACCCTCAAACACAGCATGCGATTGTCGCCATCACCTCGATTGATCAAGAGTTCAAATTTATTGGTAATTGTACAAAAATACTTTGAAAATTTAGTTCAGTGTTCTGTAACTCCAGTTTGGCTCTAAAGAGGTAAAAAAATAAATATCTAATTTCAGAAGAAATCAAAATCAGTTACTTCAGTAAAAAACTACCAAATTTATTAAAAATAGCTACAGGCCTTTGTTGAAAAATTGTCACTGTTGTCCTCTAGCTCCGGAGTTCACCTCAGAACAAAATAATACGAGAGTGTTATATAATTACAAAATATAAATCCGTATGCTTAATAAAAATGCTTTAAAAATCTAATACTTTTCGATATGTTTTTTTTCCCTTTAAGATGAAGTGATTTGGCACACCCTAAGCTTGTTTGTAAATTTCTAAACTTATTGAACATCACCTTCACTTATCCAAAACCCGACGACCATGAAGAGAAATGAAGTAAAAGGGATTTCGGAGTCTTCCTTTTCAAAAATATTCTAATACAGGTATTATTTGTAAAGGAATATACTGACTTGCTAATTCAACAACAACACTATAAATTTTTAATGCCCCTTAAAAAGGAACTCTCGTAGTTTAAAAACATATATATAATATATATATACATATATATATATATATATATATATATATATATATATATATATATATATATATATATATATATATATATATATATATATATATATATGCACCTAAACTACTGAAATTCCCATTCCTTTGTCTTTCATTGCATTGTTCCTGAAGACGCGACTGCAGTTTCGAATGCGAAAGGCCTAGAGAGCCTCGATTCTCCCCCTTCTCCCTATGGTTGTTGTGCATATATATTGTATTTCGAAAATCTGTTAATACTTTGAAAATTGGTTAGACAAAAGCAGTATTGTTGCTCCACATCTCATGTACTCTTCAGTTTGGTCGGATCATGAATAATAAAGTTAAATGATCAAGTAACTGAGAATAGTTAAGTGGGTCATGGGATAGTTAAGAACCTAGATTTTACTGAGTTTGAGGAGCAAGAACCCAGACACTACTCCCAGCTAGAGGAGTAAAAACCCAGATGTTACTCACAGCTGGAGGAGTAAAGGATAGATAAGGACCCAGGTAACCTGTTCTGGACAGTCTCATACACATTGAATGACATTCGAGGCATAGACTTTAAAAACGACGGCACAAAACACTAGTGAACATCCTCTTCTAGTAACTACTATCAGTAACTAGCACTAGTAACTACTAGTGTCTACTAGTGACCACTTGTAACTACGTCAGTGTTGAGTGCTGCGGCTTTTCATCGTCAGAGAACACATATATATATATATGTATATATATATATATATATATATATATATATATATATATATATATATATATATATATATATATATATATATATATATATTATATATATATATATATATATATATATATATATATATGTCGTGCCGAATAGGCAGAACTTGCGATCTTGGCTTAAATAGCAACGCTCATCTTGCCATATAGGACAAGCAGAAAATTTGTGTATGCAGTAATCAAAATCATTCTAAACTTAACGAAATTTTTTTTATTCCATTGTTATTTTTATTATATTAAATTATATGTATTTATACTTTTATAAATATATATTTAGTACATATAGGCTAAAATAAATTGCATTGTTATAATATAAGGTTAGTAAGTTTTCTAAGATTATTTTTGAAAATTATAAAATTTTAATTAAACTAATGAAAAAATATATATATATACTATAATGAAATATTTTAAATAAAATATATTATTATTATTAATTTAATAATATACGGTATATTTCCCGGCCGGGCCTCTTTCATTGGTTGGCCGCTCATGCTTCCTTTAGGAGTGCTGAGACCTAATTCCCCATTTGAGGAGGCACAAGTTACTTCCTTCATCTTGTGTTGACATAAACTGTCACAGCCTACCAAAAGTTAGGCCTCTCTGTACTGCCATCTCGCACAAAGGAGGCTAATAAGGGATAGACAGTCTTATAGCTAAAGTCTCTGGGCTTCAGTGAAACTACCCTAACCTAAGAAGGTATATGCATGTGCGATTTTAGAAAGAACTTAATTTTAAATGAGTTCTTGCTAATTGACCAGTTTTACATATTCGGCACGACATATATATATATATATATATATATATAATATATATATATATATATATATATATATATATATATTATATATATATATATAATATATATATATATATATATATATATATATAATATTATATATATATATATATATATATAATATATATATATATATATATATAATATATATATATATATATATATATATATATATATATATATAATATATATATATATATATATATATATATAATATATATATATATATATATATATATATATATATATATATATATATATATATATATATATATATATATATATATATATATAATATATATATATATATATATATATATATATATATATATATATATATATATATTCATATAATAAGCTCTGCAGTCCTCTTCGTGTCACCTACCCTTCGACAACGGGATTATTTCCCTCATGCACATCGTTAATACTATCAGCAGGAAGCATACTCATCTGTATCTATGTTCCTATATTGTTATTACATTTTTAACACAATAAAGAGAGGAATTATTTTGTCATGATCACATAGGAAAATGTTTGGTATATTGAATATAAAATACATGTAATTTTTTCTTATTATATTATTTAAAGTGTATAAATGGGTATAAGGGTTAACACCATTGACAACCTGAATGAGTTGATGAGTACTGGTATTAGACATACAAACACCTCAGCACATCAATGAGCCTGGGTCAGCGGTGAGTCTGTTACGTGCCTCACTCTTGCCCCAAGTATTTAGTTAAGATGGTTTGCCATTAGATATACACCTAAGATAACCTAGAAACAAAGAATTTCTTAGCCAGAAAGAGACAGCAACGGGTGAAAAAGCGACAGTTGTTTTGGTATCACCCATTTTTGTCGGCACTTTCCTTCCAACAAAAAGACAACAATGCTCTTTATGTATGGTAATATAAAAAGAAAATATTCAAGCTTTGCCACCAAGAGAGGCTCTTAATAATATGCATGGCAACAAAAGGCAATATACAGCATTTTATATGATAGTATTAGGCCGTCTTAAGGTTTGCATGAGAAGCAGCCTAGAAGCGATGCCGTCTGTCAATACTCTATTAGTAACGCTGTTCAAACTTTGCCTACAAACAGCTAGTATCAAGGTTCTTTGTGATGACCTTCGGGTATACTTCAGAAAACGGTACTAATCGTTACAAAGGTGTTCTTCGCAGTGGTTAAATTTCTCTTATTTTTGGACGAAAATAATATAATAGAAGATAAGAAAAGTACTGTACATTTCAGTCTACCATTGAGACTTTCTTCAGTAAGCTGCAGACGAGAGCCTCAGTTATCCAGCAGAAAAGACAATATTCTTATCATCTAATGTAATTGATTCATATTACTTTGTTTCTATTATAAACCAGTGCGCATTACTTTTATTTTTTGCTCTCGTTTTCTTCATTTTTTTTGTTTACTGGGCGCACGTTGTAAGATACTCTCCTTCCAAGGGATGGGAGTGAGGGACACTTACAGACCACCACAGCCCTGAGCTTCACGGTTTGAACAGTAATGTAATCTGTAGGGATGAGGGTCATCAACAGAGGGGTGTAAGTAATGTACTTACCCTGCTTCTCATTTACCTATGTACACCATATGTCTTCCTATGACATTTCTCAACATAAAACATATGAAACGAAAAAAAAAATCTTTGTAAATATATTAAAAACTGTTAGAAGTAGAGAAAATGTTTAATTAAAATATTTCGTTTTTTAGCATTTGCCTAATCTCTTGATCCCTGTGAAGGGATTGTGATCTCAGGAACTGGAGCTACCCTCCCTTTCCTTGGATCAAATCTGATTGCCTTCCATTCCATAGGCGCTATATGATCCCCCTACGAGTTTAGCACTCCCATATGAATGTAATAATATAGAATATAATATCGTTATTTGATGGGTATTGCACCTTTCAACCCACAATAGAAAATTACGTTGCTTTCTATCTTACAGTCAGATATGATTAAAATATTTTCTATGAAGAAAATATATTGAAACCCTCTGAGATGCTATTCAAACTGGTCCCTTGCAGGGGTCTTGTCGGGAAAAATCCCCTCCGAAGTCTTTGGAAAAAACTGCAAAATATAGCCTATATTCAATTGCCCACCGGATACGCACGGAGCCAGGTACATACCTGACTACGTAAGATAACTCCAAGAGGCACCATTTGAGTGTCAGTAAATATAAGGTATCGTCTCGACAGGAGTCGAATTTTATTTAGTTTTCGTTATTACTTTCCTAGAGCGGCGTCGTTGCGGGGTTTTGAGCAATGCTAAACCATAATGAAACATTGAATTTGTGCATCAAGTCTTATCTCAATAAGGACCTAAACGATACTACCGAGAGGAGCCCTGTCCTTTTCCGAGTGAGAGATATCACTCTTCCTGGATGAATGAAAAAGTCACTTTCCTTGGCTGAATGAGAAAATCACTTTCCTTCGTTGATTGGAAAGTCATTCTTTCTGGCCGAATGAGAAAGTCACTTTCGTTGGCTGAAAAAGAAAGTCACATTCTTTAGCAGAGAGAAGGAAATCATTCGTCCTAGGAGGATGAGAGAGTTACTTCTTGACTGCGTGAGAAAGAGATATCTCTTGAGAAAATTGCTCTCTCATATCACCGAATGACACACTATACAGCCAAAGGTTTAGCGACTTCGTCATTTGATGACCCAGGAAAGAGTGACTTTCTGACCTTAATCTACACAGCCTAGAGGTGAATGATCTTTGTTCCTAGTGGTCGAGGCTGCTTGACCCCTGACCCAAGTAATCTAGGGTTGCTTCACCTAGTGGTTCAGGGTTGTTTAATCCCTGATCCTAGTAATCAAGGGTTGCCTGACCCTCGATTTGGTCTAATGAACTAGGAGACGTAAAAGGCATTAGTTGTCTCGCGCCAGGACGCTACAGCATAAATTGGCTTGAAAATGCTTCATGCTGCTATGTACAAAGCAGAGGTGGTAATGCTTGCGCGCGTGTTTTGATTAATGGAAAAAGGATGGAATTAAAAGTTTTAAAAAGATACCCAAATCCTGGGAGGATGCCCTACTAATATGCCCTAGCTCCTATAGGGAGCAAACGTGACCTACAAGTGTTCGGGTTAGTAATAAATTCCTCTATAACATAACGAGTACAGTTTGTTTTTCATAATGCACTAATCTCCACAAATCTTAGTTATGTGAATAGCGGGCGTCTTCCTCTTCAGAATTTGAGCAGGAGGACGACGCTAGTCTCAGCCACAGGAAAACTATGAACTCCATGTCCATGATCCCAGGTGTTCTGTGCACTATTTGTCCACGAGGCATGAGGGAGTATTTTTTAACTCATTCTCAAGAGGTGAAGAGCTGTGAACCCTATAACCACGAACTCTAGAAGAGCTGTGAATACCGTTTCCTTAGACCTGAGCAGCAGAAAACTTCGTGTCTGCAAGTCCTGTGGCAGCAGGAAACTTCGTGTCCACCTTCCCTGATCAGCTTTAAACTCTGTATCTACGAGCCATGGGAGAACAGAGCACCTTAGCGGCCTGACAGTGGCGACGCCCTCTAGAAAGCCAGTCAGCAGTGAACTTCGAAGTGGCAGGAAGCCGCCCCCTACCGAGCCTCTGTTGGCCTTTGTGCGAGTGGGACTCCAGCAGGGGCGGCTTCTCTCTCTGATATAAAAAAATGTTCAGCCTCCTCCTGCTCCTACCAGGCTGCTCCAGGCACGAAGAACCTCACCAACAGCTGCAACACACACAAAAAAAAAAACATTGTTGGTTGGGTGATAGAAGAACCTGTGAGATCAACACGAATTAAAATCTTCATTGAGTTTATTCTTGAGCAAACTACAATTCTAATTATTTGTAAAAATGCAGTCTGTAACTTATGTGGCCACCGTTTGTTATTTGTTTGATATTTTTATTGTTATTTATATACTTATTTCAGTTTCGAAATGAGTAACATAAAACTGGTTTACTTAGCATCTCTTCTACTGTTATTTAACTTTCATATTAAATAAAAGGTAAATTAATATACGTACATTAACAAAGACTTGAAGCACAGACAAAAAAAAAAAAATGGAAAGACAACGGGTAGGAGATGAAAACAATATAATTCATACCAAACTGCAGTCAAACTACATCCCGAAGACCCAAAAAACTGTCACCTTCACTGGATGAAATAAGGAGTGCTTGCACCTATCACCATTTAAAGGAATGGAGCCACATAGGATGGTGCAAGAATACTTTAGCCAAGCACCCCAGCACGACTTAGATTATTATTATAATCAAGGGGGAAGCGCTAAAGACCTAAAGTTATAAAGTAAAGTATCTTCTTGTATATTTTGTAAAGAGAAAATGCCTAAAAAACAAAAGTGACAGCAAAAGTTCGTTTCAATAAAGGCTGCCTTGAATGACAGCTACACTGGAGGTTTATTGAACTGTGAAGGCTGGATCCCAAAATAATTTGCCTATACGTAAGAGAGTGAACAAGCTGCAGGGAAGAGTAGTTCTCAGTGTGAAGGATTTATTTACAGACGACTTATAAGATCATGAAATGATGTGGTGGAAGTCTTGGAATAAAAGATCAAAACCCAGGTAAGGAAAAAAAGGCACAATACTGTGACCGGAACAATACACAATTAATGGTCCAACTCAGACTGTTAATTAGTCACCTATGTGCCGGTTATTTGTGTAAAAACCAGGTAATTATAGTTATAGAAGCCAAGGTTGAGAACGGAAGAGTAATTTGCTGCACAAGTGAGGACGGTCTGCAATTACATACTCTACCAGGGAGGTTTCTGGATAACGGTGGGGAGCTCTTCATGCAAGGAAGCCAACCTATTCTCCCTTTCTCTAGATCAAAGTGCGGATGTACTCATGATAGTCTCATAACCCCCAGATGCTGTACAACCTTGTCGGGTTAAGCGTTTCCCAATATAATAAATAATAATAATAATTAAATAATAATAATAATAATAATAATAATATAATAATATTATTATTATTATTATTATTATTATTATTATTATTATTATTATTATTATTATTATTAGTATTAGTAGTAGTAGTAGTAGTAGTAGTAGTAGTAATTAACTATAAAATCTTGAAAATCCTCTACATTTTTTGTCCTATTTGGAGACTTCATTTTTCAAAATGTATATGGAAGGATGTTAGACAACTGATTTCTACGGGAAATAACTTCACGGAAATAGGAGGAACAACAGATACATACCAGAGAACTGCTAACAACTCGATATTTTTTTTTGCGTTGAATCAACATTTAATAGAGCCTGATAGAAATAACAATAGGCTTAATTTAAACCGATGCATGGACAATCTGAAAGCGAAAGCCTGCGAAGCCTAAACGAGATATGTGACTACTAAGAAAGCCTAAAAAAAAGAGGTAAAACATAGAAAATTATCAAAGTAGAAAACAAGGTTACTGAACTGATAGAAAAAAAACATATATATGCCACAATAAATAAAACTTACACAGAAATTACCGATATAAAGCAGACAATATTCCATAATGAAACACTAAGACCAAACCAGTTATAAACACACAAAATAACTTAAGAAGTTCGGTAAATTAGTATGAATCCAAAATATCTGGGCGACCTATTAACATTATCAATAAAAAAATCCATTTTTGACAATCTGAGAGAAATACGTATTTAATAATAATAGACTTACAGAACATTGTCAATATCAGTGGTCCATCAGGCAACTGCTTTCAGTTGGAACATTAAAAAAATTATGAAAGAAAGTGGATTTTCTTCTGCTGCAAGTGACAGTGACTCTGTAGGCTACTACGGACACAAGTGTTTCACTACGGACAACATTAATGCCAATACTGATACCACTGGTTCCACTACGGACACACTGGTGCCACTGCAAACACCCCTAGTCCCAGTACTAACACCACTGGTGCCAGTACTGACAGTAAGGTGTTTACCTACCATTTCTTCACCTCCACGTTCTCTCATTTACTCTCCTCTTTCTTCTTGGGTTCAGTATGCGTGTCAGGTGGGGTGGTGACTGTAGTCTTGGTGCTGCCGGCACTGTGCAGCTTGGCTTCCTTTAACTTCTTCTCCTTCAGCGAAGGCTGTGGAAGACAAAGCCTTGCTTACTGTGAGGATAAGGGATGCTGGATGAGGGAGCAGGGCTACTGAGTGATGAAACAGAGAATATTAGGTGATGTAATAGAGGCTGGGTGAGGGAACTGACTACTGGGTGATGGAACAGGAAATACTAGGTGATGCAATAGGGGGTGCTGGATGAGGGAACTGGACTACTGGGTGACAAAACAGAGAATGTTAGGTGATGTAATAGGAGATGCTGGGTGAGAGACAAGGGTTGGCAGATGAGGAGACAGGGGCTGTCAGTTAAGGAGACAAACAGCTGTCAGTTAATGCTGCTTAGGTAAGAGGACACAAGAAAAGAGCTGTAGGGAACAAAGCAGAAAGAGCCCACTATCTAAACAAACTCTGGAATCGGAAAAGAGGGACGAATGTTATTACAAAACTGCAACAATAATATCCTCATATCAGCGGCTTTACATCTAATACTTTTTTTTATTTATTTTGATACAAAAGGAAAAAAAGTTTTTAAGTGCAATTTCCGCACCATGAAATTTCTTCTCCAGTTCGATTGTGCATTTTTGTATGATGATGTAAGGATAAATATAAGGGTCCCACAATAGGTTAAATTGTTTCACAATAGATACAAGGATTCCACAATATGTAAAAAGGGTTAACTTAAAGATAAAAAGGGTTCCACAATATTTAATAAGGTCCCACGATAGTTAAAAGAGTCCCACAATATTTAATAAGGTCCCACAATAGTTTAAATGAACCCACAACAGTCAGGCAAATTAATCTGGTTTTATGTCTATATTTTTTACTATAATTTCTTTAATTTATCGTATATTTTGATCGTCCCTTGTGATACTGTTATATTTTGGTTCACGAATTACCCTCCTAGATGATATTACTCTTCATTATCAAAATTTAGTCGGTTTATCATTTTTTCCTCATGTCTAGTGATGGTCGTGGTGATTCACTGGAATTGATTTTTTTTTCTTTTCTAGTGATGTAAGGGGTATATGTGATCTATCCTTTATTTTTTCCTTTCCAGGTCTAGTGGCGTAGTGATTTATTCAACCTGTTTGACTTTTCTGTTGGTTATGTTTACTGCTGGGTGATTTTACATGCGTCAGGAAACAAGGAAAATTATTATGTTAAATGATGAGGATTATGTGTTGAAACACCCACTGGTCTACTGGAACCAGTTTATACGCTCAAGTTCGCTGTCTAGTAGTCTTGTAAGATCTGCTACGAGTGTTATTTTTAATAGTACGTGATTGTTTATGCCAAGTGTGATGTAGTGGTTTAAAAAAACTCGACAAGTTGAAGAATGAGACACGTGTACAACATTTGGGAATCTTTAGAAGAATGAGGTAATTAGTTCCTTCGCAGGGAATCGATGAGTTCAGCCCATCAGTTTCAAAAATGACGGTATGTCCTCTTGGTGGGAGCCAAGAGGCCATACCAACAATTGTTATTTCTGCCTGGTACCTCCAGCGAACTGTGGGGCAGTTAGTGACGAAGGTGGTGAAAGATTTCACCATGAAAGTACGAATTTTTGAACATACTGTACGATCTGTTACTTACGAAATCGTAATAACACTTGCAAACAAACGACGGAACGGATGGGATTTGAACCCATGGGTTCAAATCACAATGGGTTCAAATCCCACCCATTCCTTGGTTTATATGTTCTATTGTTGGCCTCAGTTATGGGGTATATTTTTATTAAGACGGGTTCCTCACTGAGTGTCCTGAAAGTAGTTCAAATAGATGAAGAATATATATGTGTTAGTAAGAGCCTGGGGACAGGGTTGCATGTCGGCCATTAAGCCCTGTATCCTCTCTGACGTAATCTGCTGTTTTCACTCTGGTGGTTCAGTTGTGTTTTTCAGAGCGAGTCGGTCAAGCAGGCCCATCTGACCCGAGAAATATTTTTCAAAAAACATTCCCTCGTGCATTAACATGTGTATCTCTGGACATCATTATATACAAATTTTTAAAACTTGCAAGAAATATTACTTAGCATTTTCATCTAATCGTGATCACAGTTGGAGTAATATAAAATAGATTAAACCTACCAATCCGATTTTAACCTAATGTCAGTTTAATTAGCATTACTAAATCTAACATTCCGTGTCTAAGGTAAGACAAAGGTTCTCATAAAAGGGACGATAGCAAGATCTGCCTTGAAAACTTAGTATATTGTACCTAATAAGCTTGAACACTGGTAATTAGCTTCTGAGCTATACACATCACTGTCATTTCCTAACTTTTCAGCAATTCATATGCATTATTTTGGACAAAAAAATTCGTGTCATCCGATTAAATCAATTTGTACAAATCGATGTCATCAGAAATGTCATTCACTAATACAAAGAACGAATTAAGTTTGTGAAATGATTGATAAAAACATTCTCGTTATTGCTTTTCAGTTCGGCGTCTACCATGTTTTCCCAGTTATTCCATTATCTAGTTAAATCCTTTTCCTGGTATATCATTCTCCTGTTTTTTAAATAGTTAATAAATCGCTTATGAAACACAATATCATTTGACCTTAGTACAAGAAAAGCAATTGATCTTCTCGTTCGTATTACACAGCCTCACGCTGGATATATATGAAAGGTGAGGTGGCTGGGAGAGGTGGCTGGGAGAAGTGGCTGGGAGAGGTGGCTGGGAGAGGTGGCTGGGAGAGATGGCTGGGAGAGATGGCTGGGAGGAAAGGGACATAATTCTCACAGCATTCCGTTATATGTTATATGTATATATATATATATATATATATATATATATATATATATATATATATATATATATATATATATATATATATATATATATATATATATATATATATATATATATATATGCAAAACAACCACTCTGAAAGAATAGAGAAATTCCAAGCGCTTTCGTGACTACTCACATTATCAAGGAAGTATATATAGTTCCTTGATAATGTGAGTAGTCACGAAAGCGCTTGGAATTTCTCTATTCTTTCAGAGTGGTTGTTTTGCAAATTTTGAAATCACCTGTTTACTGTGATCTTATTGCATATATATATATATATATATATATATATATATATATATATATATATATATAATATATATATATATTATATATATATATATATATATATATATATATATATAACTACATACTGTATTGTTCTATATTATATTTATATACTGTCATACTTTCACTGTCAACAAAAAAATATTAAGGAATACTCACAGGAATCCCTCCGAAGCCATAAACTGTTGATAGAAGAAAATAGAAACGTTAATACATCAACATATTCACGTTTCAAGAGTGTAGTGCATAAGAAATTATCACATAATCTTAGTCAATTTGAGAATAACTTGTCAAATATCAATGAGCTGGTAATGAAAATTTTCATTTTATTTTATGTATGTGCGTGTGTGCGTCCTAACTTCATGTTCAGTATATCTCTTTTTCATATATTTCTGACTCATTCGTTTTGTGTTTCTTTGTCTTGGCCGCAGACGCTGCTAAAAGTTTTTCGTTAGCTACCTGCACGTTTTGAACGATTCTTCAGTAATTGAAAAGGAACGATTCCCTTGCTAGAGCATCATTTTTTCAAAAATTGTTTTTGGGTTGAACAAAATCTTTAAAGATTCATGTTTCGAGAAACTTAAATAGCCTTTATTTTTGCCATCCGTGCATATACTACTGAAGTTTTCCAGTGTATTTGCATATCATACGATGGGTTATTTAGAATATATTCACTCTGGGTCCGTCTCTCTTCCCAGTGTGATGCAATCAACTGTATCATATTTCCATCTATATTAAATTCAATCTATAAAGAGTTGAAATCCAATAACCAGTTATCATTCCAGAAACTTGATGCTTTTTACCATCATCTGTGATCTTTTTTCTCTCACTAACCAACACTCATTACATCAAAGCAAACGTAAATGTAAATTATATCGCAGCCTGAGGCAGGGCTTTGAAATGTATCTTGAAGATAACGAGACAGAATTGGTCATGTCGAATATTCTGCTTGTTCATCTGTTCAACTTGGCCTCACACTCTAATTGCGTTCTGTTCAGCACGTATCATTTATCCTCTTTCGAAAACTTAGGAGCGACGACTTTTTCACTTTTTCTAAATCTTTTCCTTGAAGAGCACTTAAAAACCTTATGGTAATCTAGGAATATACAGTCCACCTAACTTTAACTTTTTTGCCTGGCCGGCATTATCGTGTCATAGTATTATATTTGGTAGTTTGGTTTTCCCATTACTTACTATATTCATGGGGCTAAATCTATACAAGAAATGGATGGGGGGTCACTGGCTTTGTTGTTAGGAAGGGAAGTCTTGATCCAATTATTTCAAAATAGAGGTTCCTTCCATGAAGGTTTTTTCCTTTCTTATCTTATGTCGAGGCTCCTGAAGCACCACTCTGAACTCATGTCGAGGCTCCTGAAGCACCACTCTGAACTCATGTCGAGGCTCCTGAAGCACCACTCTGAACTCATGTCGAGGCTCCTGAAGCACCACTCTGAACTCATGTTGAGGCTCCTGAAGCACCACTCTGAACTCATGTTGAGGCTCCTGAAGCAGCCTTTGCTGCCCCACGTCACAGAGTATGACTGCGAGGGATATCGGCCTATAGTTTAATATATATACTTTTTTGCCTACTGCTATTTTGATTTTTCCTTCATACATATGTTACAATCTATGACATAATTCCTATTCTCTGCCATACGTTCTATATGATTTGAAAACTGAAAAGGGTATTTTCTAGACAGTAAATCTAAGCGAATACCTTGGATGATAAACTTTACTTACAACAGTATCTTAGTGAAAAACACAACTCTTAGTATCCAGTTTGTTATTAGTTTTGTTACAAACTGTAAAATTAATTTGACTTACACAAGTGGTTCTTTCTTAATATATGTTCGTTATGTTTCTTAAGTCATTTATTCTTGGTATTATTTTTCTCTAGGTACAGTTCTTTCCATTCTCTCTCTCTCCCTCCCTCTCTCTCTCTCTCTCTCTCTCTCTCCTCTCTTCTCTCTCTCCTCTCTCTCTCTCTCTCCTCTCTCTCCTCTCTCTCTCTCTCTCTCTCTCATCTCTCTTCTCCTCTCCTCCTGTCTCTCCCCCTCTCTATCTCCCCGTGCGCGTAACTCACACACTACCACACTCACACACACCACACACACACACAACACACACACCACACACACACACACACACACACACACACACATTAACTAAAACTGACACCGATGATCACATTTTGAGGTTAATAAAATCATATAACGACACCAGATTGCAAAGAAACTTTGAATCAATGCATTCTAATGAACATTGTAGTCTAATGGGGAGCAAATTAAAAAAAAAAAAACACACCTTCAGAAAATTGTAAAGAATAATCTGATAAACTGGGGAGATATTTGAATTTATAGGTTAAAATAAATTGAAAGAACATATAGAATTATACTAAATATAGAGGTAACATTACACAGGTTACATTATAGATATTACATTATAGAGGTTACATAAAAGAGTTTACATTACAGATGTTACATTGTAGGTTATAGTTTAGAGGTTACATTATAGAGGTTACATTATAGAGGTTACATTAAAGAGGTTACATTATAGAAGTTATATTATGGATTTTTACATTATGGATTTTTACATTGTAAAGGTTGCATTATACAGGTTACATTACACATGTTACTTTAGGTTACTTTACACAGGGTACATTACAAGTTACATTAAATATCAAACAATGCAAACTGCGACTCAGACAGACTTATCGTATTAAATGCAATTCCAAAGAGTCGGTGATTTAAATACGAAATAAGCCAGGAAACAGACACAGGATCTTTACTGAAGCTTAAGTGGACACTATCGGTAGCGAGAAATGTGACAGCCAAGAAATAGGTTCACTGTTCAACGCAAGTGTCAGATCACCATTTAAGGCTTAAACAAGGAAAAAAGTAGTGGGTTAAGTGGACACTATCGGTAGCGAGAAATGTGACAGCCAAGAAATAGGTTCACTGTTCAACGCAAGTGTCAGATCACCATTTAAGGCTTAAACAAGGAAAAAAGTAGTGGCTGGAATGATGTATTGTTGGTATAAGTTGAGACGAAGACAAAGATGTGCAGAACAAGCATTTGCTGGAATGAACTTTTCTCTGTGTGTGTAGCGCTTTATTAAGTAATTCCTTATGAGGTGACCTCCATCCACGACAAACCTCACTTCTGCTCATCTATATCCACTTCCCTTCGTCAGATACGTGAGTAATAACTGTAATCTACAGTTATTATGTGAGTAATAACTGTAACCTAGAGTTATTACGTGAGTAATAACTGTAGGACTTAATAAAACTTTACAAAGACTGCAACGTTTTCCCAATCAAGTCTTGTTCAGGAACGTTTCCTTATCTTAGTCAGACATGAAATATACTGAACAGTTTCTGAACTAATTAGTAATAATATAGAGTGCTAGAGTGGTCGAAAGTATTATAAAATAGTACTGATCAATAACCTACCGCAATAATGTCTCAAAAACTTTATTATAACTATTGTGTCAACGACATCACAGATTGATTGTAACTAGTGACGATGACAGGTAAAACGTGTCACTGAAAAAGTCATAGGAAAAAAGTCTTAGAGTACAGATATAATAAATTACTAGAATAGGTTACTTAAATGTGGTTAGCTTTTGTTAGCTCATTTTCCAAAATTAGGTTAGTTTAATCATGAGTTTACATGGCTATCTATGAGTACATCGTCGCAATATTTACGTCACTGTCAGCGACTGGACCCAGGTGGTGCGGACTCTCGAGACGACCCCCCTACAATCTTGATTTTTTTTTTTTCCTGATCAAAATTTAAAAAAATATGAGACTTTTTTGTGATCAACATTTAGAATTTTTGTGACTTTTCTCCTCTGTGATTTTTCTTTATCAAAATTAATCAGCAACAACTCCGAGAGCATTTAATTTATCTATGCATCACTTAATTT